CAGCGCCCCCGCCCCCGCCCCCATCGCTGCTCTGTGACGCAGCCGAGCTGCTTCGCGCGCTCCCCCGCCCGCCGTGCACGAGCGGCACCCAAGCAAGGGGGTTGCAGGGCAGTGTGAGCCCGGGGGGAGCGTCGCAGCCCGCGGCTTCTCGTGCCTCAGAGGAGCGGCTCCTTTCTGCCTCCAGCTGTGCAAACAGCTCCGGGCAAGGCCCCCTCCCCCCGCGGCCCTGCTGAAGGCGGCGCCTGGGCGGGCGAATGCAAAGTTCAGCCCCGCCACGCAGGGCTGCCCCCCCAGCCGCGGGAGGCGACCTGTTACCTACCTACCATCTGCCGCCTCCTCTGTTCCAGCGCCAGCCTCCCCTCCTCCTCCTCCGGCAGGTGTTTGGATCCCGCCAGAAAGCCAGGGCTGCTTGTTCACTGAGCACTGCCCCTGGGCTGGGTTGACTTGGGGTTGGGTTTTTTTGGGGGGGGGTGGGGGGTTCTTCTATAGGGGTTGCATCAGTTTCCAGCCTCTCTCTGTGGCCCCGTCCCAGCCCTCAAGGGCGAGCTCCGGAAAGAGGAGGCTGGAAGACACAACTTCAGCTGTTGCTGCTCTGGGGACCCCTGCATCACTGCCTGGCTTTGAGGCTGGAAGGGGGTGGGTGTTATTTTTCCAGCCGTTTTTTTTCTTTTGTGAGACAAGACATCTTAAAAGCACAGGGCTGTTCAGTCCTAGCCTGCTCCCAGCCTTAGAAATTACAGCACAGGCAAGAAAGGAATACATAAGTGGCGTTGGATTTATTCTTGATATATCATAGAATTATATATGGATGTGCGTGCAGTGTATCTAGTCCTCTGCGTGCTACAGACACACAAGGCACACTAAAACTACAGTGATGTGCCTGCATGGTTAGGAGAGAATGCACGTGGTAAGCATCAAGTGAATGGTACGCGATCTATAGACAGTGCCTGATGGATAGAAACTGGATATACATAATGTTTTATGGAAGGGAGGACATTGACTGCTGTGGCTCCCCTGCTTTATGTGTGACAGGTTGGGGCAGGGGTTGTCAACTGGGGGCACGTACCCCTGGGGGTACTTTGAAAGGTGCTAGGAGGTACGTGCGGGTTGGTGGGGATGGAGTGCTGCCACCCACCACCCCCCAGGAGCGGGAAGGGGTGGGGTGAGGGCAGCGGCTCTCCACTGCAGGCTGCACAGGTGCCACCAAGCCAGTCAGACACGGAGGGGGAAGCTTGCACGTGGCTGCCACCACTTCCATCCACCACCCTCCTTTAAGGGTACACTCCTTTAACAAGTTTCAAAACTCCTGGGTTAGGGTATCAGGCCTATGTTGGGGCAGGGTTGACAGTGGTCTCAATCTAGAGTTTTGATTACGGTTGGGATGGGATGGGATGGGATGGGATGGTTTGGAGATGGGATGTTTCTGCCTCAAGCAGGGGGTTGGACTAGACCTCTGGAGGTCCCCGCCAGCCCTACTTTTCTCTATGACTTTTCTGTAATGCTTTATAAAAGGAATATAGTGGTCTCTGTGTAAGCAGGGGATGGGGTGACATTAATTTAATTCATTCCACCAACTTTGGAATGAATCCACAGTTTTCTGGTTCAAGGCCTCACAGACTCCAGTATTTTCCTCCTGTTTGATGTCACTGATTATATAGTCACTTTTAAGGCCTTGATGATTTCTTCATCATTGTCTCTTACCTTCACTGCCCAGCCATTATGCTTTCAATGCAGAGGGCAACATGTATAAGCATGTCTTAACACCAGGAAAGGCTTGTCTCCAAAAAGCCCGTCTGATCTAATTCCAGGTCATTTCTCAGGCTACTCAGATGAGGAAGGGGGGATCAGTAGCAGTAGCAGCAACCAAGTAACACCAAACACTATTACTCTTCAGTTTCAGAAAAAGAAAAGATCCACTGCATTACTAAATCAGTGTATTTTTAAGACACTTTTAACTGATAGAAACCATTTTTGGATGGACCTACTGTATTCTTATATAAAGCTTCAGTCAGGTCATGTAGTTCTGAACACACCAGGTGTGTCCGGAAGCTATAGGTCTTAATAACTGATTTCTCAATCCTCTTATGTTTAATATGCAGCTCTACCTATTATAATTATTAGTAATAAAACTTTAATTTTCCCTGTCAGTTCAATGAGATTTGGGGTCTGAAAATGTTTTAAAAGTGTCCAGGTGAGCCTATATGTTTTCCCCCGAGAGCATTTTTTATAAGAATGCGCTGGAATTCAGTCAGAACCTTACAGCTGTACACGGTGAATAAAATCACGGAAAAAATAAAACCTTGGTTTTGTTAGCTCCACGTTTTCCCACATCATCTTACTTGTACAGGAAAGGCTCAGCGCTGCCACCTAGTGTCCTTCAATCTTCCCCCTCCCCCCTCCCCAGTCTTGAAAAAGCTGCAGGAAATCAAAGTTTCAAGTCCTGCTAAGTTGTAAAACGTGCAGAGATTTTTGACAGTGCTATCATAACTGCCTTTTAGCTGAAGGCTGACTTTTAGTATTTTACCTATACTATGCATTTTTTGTCCAGTTTATGTTTTCAGCTCACTTTCAAGAACTGAGAGTGGAAACAATGATTAACTTTAAGGACACAGCCAAAATGTTATAATAAAATAACTGCATAATGTTTCCTCCATGTTTTACTGTGGTGTGGTCACTCCATGTAAATGTGCAAAATTTCACCTTATCAGGTTTATATGTTTCCATTTGGCAAAAATTGACCTTCCCTCCATCCCTGCACACACAAACACACTTTCTGATCTAAAATGCATTAGGAGTGGCTGTTTACATTAACGTAAACACTGACATATTAAGATATTTTTATTGATAGTTGTTAAAACCCAGTATCTTATAACAGCATTATGTGAAAAAGTTCTATTGATCTACATTTTTTAGGCTTTTCATATCAGTCTCTACAATTCACTTGAGGCCTGGTAAGCTGATTTCTTTTTTATCCTATTTAGAAACATGAAGATATTTTAGGCAGCTTGCAATTTAAACAAATTTACATTTAGATGTAACATGTTTGATTACTATCCATTGAAATCCCTGTAGATAGTTAAGGTAACTAGTGAAGCAGTGGGGTTTGTTATTGGCTCTTTTCAGTTACAGCTTTTCAGAATTTTACACATGGATAGACTAGTGTGAATAAAGTCAGTAGCACCTTTGACATCAAGACACTTTTGTCCTCCTACCGATTGTAATCAGAGTTGGTCCTTTATAAAGTAATGTATTTGATGTAATGTATTTTCTCTCAGATATGAGAGAAAAGGGCCAAATTCTTCAATCCTTGCATGAATATAAATATTATTATATTAGAGATGCCATTGTAACTGAGAAGAAGATGCTGTTGAAAAGCCCGTGGATAAATTACTATTTTTATAGGCCAGTGTATTGTATCTTTTTATAAACATTTCTCAGTAACATAACTGTAGGTTTAAAACACACAACATGCAAACACCTACTTTTTTAGAACGTGCAGCCTTTATCTCAGAATATCATATTGTTAGCCTGGGTCAACTTTGGGGCCTAAAAACCAGACAGCTTCTCAAATCAAATATGGTACTTGAAAGGGCCATGTCATATGCTTTCCTTCCTCCCCAAATATATATTTATTTGACGCTATTTTCTTAGAACTATGAAATATCCCCACAATTTTTTTCCTGCTTAATACATCTTTTATTTCATTCAGTGGAAGTATAACTGCAGACTGATTTAACACTTTTAGTGTTAAACTAGTGCTAATGTTTTAACTAATATGGCTAATGCTATACGCAAACTTTGGGGTAAAGTAATTTTGTTGTTGTTCTTACAGGGTCTGCCTATCCCTTTAGCACTCATGTTTATTTACCTGGTCGTGGAGAGCCTGAAACAAGAGCTGGACAGCACACATAACTGTTATATCCTTGTCTTAAAAAGAGTTTGTTTGGTGGAGATAAAGCATTGACTTTAGAAAGTCCTTGAAATTTGACCTCCATCAAATTACAACAGTGGACATGTAAAACAATAGGGGCCTAAACTAGTTGATATTTGGGGTATCGACTCTACTACTTTGAATTAATGTAGAGAAAAAGGCAATAGTGGGTTTAAAACTGAGAAAAACAGTGATGGCTTAAAAATACTAGTTTAAAACCCTTGAAATCAGACTTCCATTAAAGCACAACAAAGAGCACATAGAGCTGTAAAGCAGCCTATAGTGTTTTTAAGTGGATTTAACAATAAAGTACAATATACTTGAAAAATACAGATACCTAACTGCAAAACAAGTAGAAATCTGCCCTTAATATATAATACTGTCAGTCATGTGCTAACCCTTTCCGATGTATAACTGGTTATGGAGCAGCTCAGAACTACTCAAGAGAGCTGCCTTTCCCCCCTCCCTCCATCAGATAAAAACCAGCTCTGTCACAAATACTCACCGTGCACCGTTCAGGGCTGTGAGAAGGGGGGGAACTCCATCACCTTCCACTAGTTCAGCAGAAACCAAGTGGGCTGGGCAACAGGATGCTGTAGTGGCTATAATACAATGATAAAGCAAAGAGGAGGGTGTGAAAGAGTAACTTTTGCTGGGGCAAACACCTCTCCCTCCCACCTACCCTCTGCCAGGACAAAGTGAGATAGGAGACAAGCAGTACCACTAAAAAGCATTCATTATTGTCATATGATTTTAGAAGGGTGTTTGTGCCCAAAAGCTTGCAGAGAACAATTTTGCCAACTATGTAGTTGGTTTAATACAAGATATCACATTTACCCAAAGAATCTTGTCTGCCTTTAGCATATTAGTTTGCTCGACATGAACGAATGTCCCAACCCAGTTGCTGATCTTCAATTTAAGTCCTGGTGAAAAAAATGAATCTCATGTCCCTCCTGGATACAGTGTTTGAACATGCAGCCTCTTTAGGAGACAGGGGAGTTTTTAGATCAGCGGTTCCCAATGTGGTGACTGTGGGCACTGTAGCACCCGCTGAGGTTTATTCAGGTGCCAGGGTGCATTTGCACGATGAGTAAAAATCATTATTCCAACAAAAAATGCTATCATATTGGCACCTGCAGCTGCTTCTTTTGAATTCAAGTGTGCCCTTGGGCACATAAACGTTGGGAACCCCTGCTTTAGATATTAGTGGATATTAGTGGATTTGGCTATCAGCCAGTTATGGGATGTACCAACATCTGTGATACAGGAGTTTAATGCCACTGCCTCCTGATGACAGGTGTCAATCCACTTTCTCAGTAGCTCATCTGTCATCCATTAATCTTCGCTGTCTCTCTTCTTCCCTATTTCTGCTTTACAGTGAATCCTCTCTGCAATGAATCCTGCCACCACATGCTGCCTTTTTCCCCCTTCCAGTGCTGAGAAGAACTAATATTCACAAATAATCACTTCCCCCCCCACACACACACACTTTTTTTTTTCGTTTTTGGAAGAAACTACAGCTTCTCTATACAGGATGTCTCTCCTCCCCACCCCCTTTTATTAGCATAATGGCTAGAATATATTCCCCACCCCCCCTTCTCACCCCTCAATCATTGAGTACATAATCGTGGCGCACACACGCGGGGGAGGGAGGAGAAATGCAAAAAAAAGCGGGGGGAGAAAGACAAGGCTCAGAAATCTCAGCTGCACTTCTGGCCCTTTTAAAAAGTTTGCTCTGGAAATTGGAATGAGGTCAGATTTGGAGCTTCTCATTGCACGCGGTGATTATTATTGCATCGGGTTCCAAGCCAATGGGGGCGAGCGGGGCGGGGTTTGGCACGAGGAAGCGTTGGAAACAGCGGCTGATTGGCCCGCGCCGGGACTGTGAAAGGATAAAGAGGCGCGAGGCGGAATT